TCTCTTCTCCAGGATGAACAGGCCCAGCTCCCTCGGCCTCTCCTCACAGGGCAGGTGTTCCAGGCCCCTGATCATCCTTGTAGCCCTGCGCTGGACTCTCTCCAGCAGCTCCACATCCCTCTTGTACAGTGGAGCCCAACCTTGTGTTTTTCCTTGTGTTTTTACAATGCAGATTCCTGCATTCCTTTTCAGTCAGATGCTTTTGAGACCCTGCTCAACAGGGTCAGTGAGCATTTGCTAACTTAACAATGAGGAATAGCAGATTTCTGATCTTGAGCCTCTTGAGATGGTATTTTGCTTCCCCATGAAAAGCCTTTCACATGTAAATGTTTGACCCTGTTACCAGTTTTGCACAGAAGGTGTCAAATTTAAAAGACTAGTAGTAATTATTCTTTCACCTGCCCTCTATTCTGTTGACTAAAGTATTTTTTAATGGAACATACTAAAATTGAGGCCTTAAGTGGCTTGGTTTAGGAAGGACCTTGCTAACTAGCTTATGGTTACTTGGGCCATTGCTTTCAGCCTTACTGGAGGTAGAGAAGCTCTACTCTGGTGTCCTTGTGCTCCTTCATCAGTGTTTTCACTTCTTCTAGAATCTAGATTTTGTATTCAAAACCAAAAGACAAAAATCTAGGTTGGGTGAGATACTGGTGCTACTAAACTAAACCTCACCTACAGTCAGTTGCCGATGAGGAAATGTTTTCCACAGCATAATCCTGAAATCTTCATTTCTTTTCTTGAACAGAGTTTTATTGAAGAACCATGTAAGATTAGTGGCCTGTTTTTGTGTTTCTTTCCTTGAATCTAGTTAACAAATACAAAGTATTTAATATTTGTGCCTGTCTTCAGTGAAACCTTGTTAATATGCATGGGAAAGATGTTTCCTTTTGCCAGTCAAGGCTATTGCCTAAATTGTCTTATTGTCTTAACATCCTTAAAGAATGTTTCCAAAATACTGGCACAAATACAGAGATGAGGTTGTTTCACCGTGCAAAGGAAGGAATACACAAGCATTTGGAGTATATAACCAGCCCTGAAATTGCAACACCGATGCTGGCGTGCTTTGTACTTGCTCCTGGACTTTGGCACTGGAGTAGACTGTGTCGTGCAGGATTTTCTCAGATTTAGTGGCTGACCTAGAAAACGATTAGCGTCACCGATCTCAAAACTGGGGCATGCGCCGCCGTACAAACATTCTGGTCATCAGGACACCCAGGCGTGTGTAGAAGGAATCTGTTTGTCAGCAGCATGGGACCATCTTTAAAGGGTGCTGTTTGTTTTATTTTGTTTTTCTTTTTTCCCTTTTAAACGTCATTATGCTATACCTGAAAAAAACCCAAACGTTACAGTGGAGGGATATTGAAGAGCCGTGAGTGGGACCTGAGCAGGCTGTTCGCTGGAGGATCTAAGGGAAGAGCTTTGCTACTAAGGCCGTCCCTCCCACCCCTTGATCAGAGAAAATGAATTTACTTCTACAACCAGACAGCAAAATTGGCTTGTGTTTAGGTTAAGTATAAACTGGGGGAAAGTGAAGCAGTCTGGAGGTCCTGGAGAGCAGAATGCTAGAAATATTGGGGATCCTGTTAGCATTTAAATTTATGAATAACTTTGCAGTCAAGTCTCTGGAACTTCAGAACTCTGTGCTCTCCGCAAAGATCTTTAGTGACAAGGAGCAAAGCTGCTTGTCTGAGTGTGCTGATTCCCTGCTGAGGAACAGCTTTTACCAAGGATCATTTTGGAAGCCTCATGATACTACAGGAAAGGGTAGAGGGTAGAGCCATCCTTATAGCAATGGTTGCATCACTCTAGTATATTTATTAGCACCCTTCTGGGGCATCAGATCGGAAAATGTTTAGTCTTTAGCACAACCTTGTGGGATGCGTGTGGCCCAGTTTTCAGTGATTCTGGGACATACATGCTAAATAGTTGCTATCTCCTCTTTAGCTTTGGCTCAGGAACAGTTGGAAAATTACTGGAAATTTTTGCCTTTCTAATACATTTAGTCTTATTTATAATAAAACTGTTATATGGTTATAAGTATTATAAGAAGCTACCATTGTATTAAAGATAGAGAGACACTGGATGAATAAAATGTACTCCATTTGAAAAATACTGTTTACATTTTTAAGCCTTGCTGTGTAAATACCCACTTATAATGGGCAATACTACTCATTTGGAAAAGACTCTTTGATTTTAGTATGATATAATCATCATTAATCCTTTTTTATGGCCCATATTCTGAAAACATTTGAAGTGGGGCTGCATAGGGAATTACTAATTGCCACATTTTTTCCATAGTTAGATCTTAAATTCATATTTGCTTGACTAGTACAAACAATGTAAGGAATAAACACATATTAGAGATGCTTATAATGATGGAATTCTGTTTTCCAGAATTTATTCCTGCTAGGAAAAGGTTACAGATTGTAAACAACCACCATAAATTATAAATCTTACAAAAAGAAAAAAAAAAAGGAAGAGAAACTTGACAGAAAATCATTAACAGTGAGAATGGTTTCAATATGCATCAAGGATGTGTTTAAGATCAGGTTACACAAAAGTTAGATTCATGAAGAAAAGGCCCTGACCTGTTTGAACTGCAGGTTTCCAGCTGTTTAATCTTCACATATGGAAATGAAAGCTTCAGGCTTTCTATAGTAAGTATTTTGGGTACTTTATATTAATGCTTTGAAGCTGAAAGGTATGTAGGAAGAAACCTAAAAGGCTGAACTCCAGCACTGTGAATTAATTACTCAGGAACGTAATGTATGATCGATGTTAAAATATGCTCATGTTTGACTTACCCAGAAATGCAGTCCAGAAGTATATCAAATGGCAACTCAAAGTTATCGGTGTTTATTCAGATGTAACTTTCAGTTGCAGTAATGTCTGTCTTTCTGAATTCTCAAAGAGTTTTAAATGTGCTGTCTGTATTAATCACAGAGACAGGAAATGGGAATTCATCGCCCCAGTGGTCCTTCTCTCGCACCATTCAGCTCAAGAAGCAGCAGAGGTTCAAAGGGAGACTTTCCAGTTTAACTTTGCTGTCAACAAGATTACTGCATTTTTTTTCCTTCAGATGGAAAAGATCAGTCAGGATGCAGCAGTAATGAACAGAAGAATGTGCCGCAGCCCAGCCGCTCCCTCCCTGTGTGCTGGATGGTGAGCACTGCAGAAGGCCGCAGGAACAGGGGGCTACAGCCCCCTGGCCTTCTAGATAAAGATTATCGATTTGGTATGAGATTTAACGAACAGGGAGTTTTAAATTAGGATGCTATTCTTCAAGTAATAGATAATTTTTCTACTGTTGCAGATAATTGGTGTCTACTACCCAGGTAGGAACTGCAATTAATATGCTACTTTAGCTGCTTGAGCAGATAAAATCTCCAGAGCTAAAGATCTTGTTTTCATGCAGATGACACTAATGAGAATATCAAACCAAGATAAAAACCTGGGAAAGTGCTGTAATGCGTATAGCAAGTTATACTCTGTTGAGATTGCAAAGCCGCATGAGATGTTATCAGACCTTCCTGTAAAGGATGGGGGAAAGGCTTATAAATCGGGAGACCCCCCAAAAACTCAAACAGTACATGTGTAACATAATGACTAATAATGGAACATAATGGAATCTAACTGGTTTGGCAAAGAGATGGCCTGTGTGGTGGCTCTTTTTGTATTTCCGCCTTTTGTGATTGTCATGGAGGAGCGGGGGTTTTTGCTTTAGTCAGCAGGCTGGTGTCTCCGGGGCAGCAAGCTCCAGACTGCACCGATGAGAGGTGCTGGGCTTTGGGTCTCTGGGGTTGGCCAAATTGACTAAAAGAAGTAAGGTGGTGGTATTCTGTTCAATTTGAAGCTAATAAACCAAACTCCAGTTAGGTGGTTCTCTATCTATTCCATCTTTAAAGTAAGAGCAAACTGCTTTCTCTGCATATACTATTAAATTGGATGTAGTTCAAAAGGTCTCCCAGGATCATCTAGTCTATCCTTAACTATCAAACAAATCCTCTACACTCTTATATTCAGTCATCTGTGTTCATTATTTGTCTAATCTTGACATCTTTTTCCAGAATTATATCCTAGACACTTTTTATGTGTCAGTGTTAAGATCTTATCTTTTTTTTTTTTTTTTTTTCCTGCCAGTCATCTTTTCCTCACTGACAAATTCAAACTTTTGTTCTAAGATACAAACTAAAGCATTGGGGTCTTACAAAACACTAGTGCTGGTGGTGTAGTAGTAGCTAGAACAATTACCTATGATCTAGAATTTCCTTACAGTAAATGAGAGTCTTGTTCTTGTACATTATGTATTTAGTTTTGAAAAGCATGTTAATGAAAAGTTTATGAAATGAAGGTTGCTGTTTCCTAGCATTACAACAGCAGTATATCATGCTGTTGTTTTGCACACATGTGCGAGATGTAGATGAGGTAGTTCTAATATTGTTCCAGTGGGAGTTAGCTGTCAAGTAGGATTTTTTTTCTTAATTTGGTAATCAGTTTTCTATTCTCAATTAAAATTAGGATCTTGTTTCTCTGTTTTATCTAGCTTGCACTATTTGTCTAGACAAATGACTCAAGTCATTAGCCTCTTTCTTACTGGTATGTGTTTGCCTATCAATTATCTGTTTGGAATTGTTCTAAAGTATGTGCTAGAAATTTTATTTGAATATGTCCTTTGGGAAGATATTAATGTTCTGGTTTTGAAAGTCAGTTGAATGCCCTTTAGGCTGTGTTGTCTGCAAATACTGTGTGGGTTTCTGCCATTACTGTGAATACGTTAAGTGCTGGACTGCCAGTTTATGGTTTGAAACAGAATTGGGAAACTGTGATTTTTGCCTGTAAAATCTAGAGATACATTTTTTTCTCTTTTTTTTTGTTTGTTGCATTATGTATTATTTTTTCAAATACTGTAGTTGTACAGATTGTTCAGGGATTGTAGAAAAACAAAAACCAAAGTGAGGAAGTGCAATGAATTTGCATGAATGATCTTCCTTCTCTCCTAGATATTTGGGCAATTGGCTGCATATTTGCTGAACTATTGACTTCGGAACCTATATTTCACTGTCGTCAGGAGGACATCAAAACAAGTAATCCTTTTCATCATGATCAGCTAGATCGCATTTTCAGTGTAATGGGATTCCCTGCAGGTAATTTATTTTCATTAAAGGGCAGACTGAATTTTGTTCCAAAAGGAAGGCTGAGTTATTTTTACAGGTAGGCAAAAGCTGTCAGTGTGATGTATTTGGAAGTGCTGACAATTATGGAACAATAATACCAGCAAACATAAGAAGTCAAGCAACTCCTGTAGCTGTTTCTTCTCATGAGTTACTTAATCTCTTCTTAACGTATTTCAAATACTTCTCTCTCTCCTTTTTTGTTTTTTTTCCTCCTCTCCATGAAGATAAAGATTGGGAAGACATAAGAAAGATGCCGGAATATCCGACTCTTCAAAAAGATTTTAGAAGAACAACGTAAGTGGATGATGAGAAAACTTCAGTGAATCTAGCCCATGTGCAGAAATCAGCTTCTATTTTCTTTGAACTTTTTTTTTTTTTTTTTTTTTTTGGTGAATGTTTCTGTTCTAGAGCTGTGACAGCTCTCCTGTTCTAAATCGGCTGTTTAGCTTGAAGGGCATCCCTAAGTTCTTAAAAGCATCAGCTGGATGGCTTCAGTTCTGTGGAAGGGATGATGTTTGGGAGAATCATTTAATCTGTGGCAGGCGAAATGGAATGGGGTTGTTTAAGCCACTTGTTCAAGATAACTTCATTCATTTTGTGAAAGAAGAAATAGGGAAGAACCTCCCTGATCCCTTTGACCAGCAGAGACCAGAGCCAGTAATGTGGTGGTCGTAAGCTGCTGCGTAAGGTAATGTGGGCAACAGATAGTGATGTGAAGTCCATCTGGGATCTGACAATTTCCTGCTTTTAGTGTTGCCAAGTGCTTTGTCTAAATTAGGCAGGTGATGCTGAAAGATCAGAAGGCATAAGGAGCAACACAGATTCGTGTTTTAAGGAAGAGGAATGGGATTTGGGAGCTTTGGATTCTGTGTCCAGCTCTCTCACGGTTTCATTGTGCTGACTTTAAACAAGACGTGAAACTGCTCTGTGCCTGAAGTTTCTTTCTCTGTAAAGCAGCTATAGTTAATCTCTGGACTGATAGATCAAAGGCAAGACCCAGGTCATAACATATTCTGGGTGTTTTCAACCTGAAGAGCTATATTGACCGTGTGCCTCTAAAAGTTGCCTGTTCTATAGAAACAATCTACACACAATTATTTTCCTGCTAGTCCTGCTGCCATTATTAGTGAAAAACCTGCTTGGAGTGTCAACTGGTAGATATGTCTAACATGATTTCTGATAGCAATTCTGTTCACATTTGTTTATTAAAGGCTGGGAAGTGTTTTGGTGATCACTTGGTAAAGTTCTTTGCTTTGTTTCTGAAAAGTCCTTGTCAACGATATTTTTCAGATACGCCAATAGTAGCCTCATAAAATACATGGAGAAACACAAAGTCAAGCCTGACAGCAAAGTTTTTCTTTTGGTAGGTACAATTTGAAACTCACTGTGACACTAGGAGTGAAATGTGTTCCTAGTTATATCATCTGTGCTTATTCTCCTGTCTTCTAATGAACACCGATATAAAAGAAATCTGTTTATCACTAACTAGCCATTTTGAAATTTTTCTTCTTTTTATGCATTCATATTCAGAGTGTGCTTAACCTGCTGCCACTCCAGATCTGAATTACTTATCTAAATAAATCTTCATGGCATTTGTGTTCCCAGCTCTACTCCTAGACTTGCTGTACAAATAAAATAGTATTATGTATCCCCTGGTTCCTTTTGTTTTCTGAATCCCAAGAGCTAGAGACTTCTGTGGGGAAAAAGAGGAAGAAAGGCTAATAGATGTACATGCAGGCAGAACAGTACCTGCCTTATGTTGTGAAAGATCCACAAAAAAGAGCGAGGAAAGATGTACATTGCTCTCCCATATCAAGAGATTAGAAAAACACCTGCCTCGAAGCCTGGGAGTATGCTGACTCTAAAGCAGACTCGAAGCCTCTTGTTTGTATCTGAGGCAGGTAGGTTGTCTTTTGAGGTAACCTTGGTTTTGTAAGATGACCTCTGAGGATATTTCCTTTGTAATCTTGGTTGATTGAAATTTGGAGTTAATGTGTTCAACAAGCCTAGCAAATAGAGAATAGGTGAGTAGGGTACCAAGGAGGATAACAAGTGACTCGACAATGAGGAACCTATCATGCCACTCTTCAAACTGACACAGAACATTAATGTCTGCGTGAAAGCCAGAAAGTATTTCTGTCCAGGAAGAGAGGCATCTGCTCCTGCTGCCCTTGAATAGTTACAGGCATTTTATTTATAGCCATCATGTCAGGCCAGTAGAGCCCAACAGTCGGTAATCTTGAATGGGAGAGCTTCCAAGAAGTATCAGAGTCTGATGACGGAGTCCAGTCTCACAAGCTTTCTCCATTGTGATAGTGGCTCTTACCCTGAAAGGGAAACGTGTCCAGACATTTTTTGTTTGTTTGCTTACTTTGCTGGAAGCAGCAAAAGCTACAGAACACCAGACTGTCGGAGAAAGTTGTCCCCCCAGGAGGACAGAAGTGTACTTTGTGGCATCACCTGGAGTGGGAAAGCTCATTATATTCCTTGGGATGGAAGGAGATTATTAGGAGAGTGAGAAGCTCCTCCTCTTCTGCCCATGACCACATGCAGTACCAAAGATCAGGACTAACCATCTAAGAGCGTAAGCATTTGCCCCTGCAGTCACCAGGAAAGAGCTAGGGAGGGGTATTTTGAATCACGTAGCAGTGCCACAAACCAATAAAATTAATGGTAGGAAGAGTTGTGATTTGAAAAAAAGGTGGTGAACATGTAATCAATATAATTTCTATTTTGTACTACTGATATATTATCATCTTCATTTTTAGGTCTGGTGCACTCAACAGCCTTCCAGCTAGCAAATTCATTACTGTTTTCCTTCTAGTAAGGAGGAAAGGTTGAGAGGAAGGGTCTGCTTATTTTCTTTCTCATGTCAGTACCAATTAAAGTGGAATTTTGACCTGAGTGAGTGACAGAGCACACTGACTCTGAAGTGTTTCCTGTGGGGGAGAGGAGGATTTATTTTTCTCATCTCTAATGCAATATTGAGAGGTCTGGTCATATTCAGAGCCTTCTCCTCTGATGATGCTCTTTTCCTGTTACGTCAGCATTAAGGAACAGTATAAAAATTATAAAGGTGCTAAAATAAACCAGCATTATTTAGAAATTATGCTTTATGATCTTTTAATAGTTGAATTTAGCACCACTCTAGCACAGCAGTTCAGCCTTAACACTTAATACTACTAGATACTTAACTGTATTTTTTTTATGTGAAAAGTCCTTCATAGTCTTAGTGCTTTGATGGATGCGCCTCGTTTCTTGGGACATTTACTGATAATGAAATGCTAACTTATGCTTATCTGGACAAGACACAAATGATTTAACAGTCTGGGATCTAAGATGTACAAGTCATAAATTTTAAAAATGACAGTCTGGCAAGCTTTTTACTGTTTCTAATGTTAACACTTTGCAGCTTCAGAAACTTCTTACTATGGACCCTACGAAGAGAATTACCTCAGAGCAGGCGTTGCAGGACCCCTACTTTCAGGAGGATCCTCTGCCTACATCAGAGTATGTATTCCCTTTACCATGCTCTGCAGGAATATCTTCTCTCTGCTAAATGCTAATCTCTGTTAACGAGGCGACAGCTGAAAGTTTGAGATAGCTCCTTATAGCTGCAGATCTGGTATGCACAGCAGAAACTGTTTGTGCAGCTTTGAAGAGTCTGTATCTACTGGTGCTGAAGCTGAATGGTCAGAGAGGGCATGACCAGTATCAGTAGTAGTGCAGTTCTGAACCTGTTACCAACTGAGGTGCAGCATTCAGAGTATAAATCTGGACCTCTTCTGCGCTGCTTGCACAGCCTCACACAGCCCTTGCCCGGTTTCACTGTGCCTGTCCCAGGACTAGGACACTTGTCTGACCCACAGCTCATTCCCATGCCCTCTTCTGTGGGGACAGAGCACAACAAGCAGAAAGAAGAGTAGGATACTACTTGATGCCTAGGTTAGGCACTTTAAAAATCATAATATGTTGGCTGAATTGTATTGTAAATGACATCTTAGATTTTTGCCAATGTCCAGAATCGCTGCAGTTGTTAGTGTCTGAATATCCACCTGTGATTTTGTACTTAGTATATATCTGATGCTAGCCTATGTAGCACTGTAGCTCATCCCCGGATTACAAGATAACATTATGATAAAGTATCTGCTGTTAAATATCAAGGGATGTTCCAAATCCTATTAGCTAACTCAGTTAAAAAGCTATCTTTTTTTTTCTCTAAACAAGACCTGAGAGAATGAGGCCTTGTTGCTAGTTGATAGTAGCTCTCTAGCTGTGATTGGCAAATACATTTAAAGCCCACTGTAAGTCAGAAGGGCTCATAAGACATTGTTTTTCCTTGTTTCAAGCCCTTTACTCAGTAAGGCATGCCTGCGCTAGCTAGGTGCTGTGGAACCTCTGGCTGCTGTGACACTGTATTTATTAATTTTGTCATCTGAGCCAACAAGTGGTCTCTCTGGCATTCAGGCATTCAGCTGTGCTATGGTTTCTAAATGATGGCATCTTGCCAACACAGAAAAGATCTGATATTATGGTCACCATCTAGTTGCTTGTGTGTGCTGCTCTCTTAGGTGTTTACAGTGCCATTTGCTTATGGAAACAGGACTCAACAAATACCAGAAACGAAATTGTGTTATATTTCAGATGTTTTTAATAGACTATTAAGCAAATATATTTTATATACATATTTGCTGAATGTTTACTCTTTGCTGTATTTCAGCGTGTTTGCTGGCTGCCAGATTCCATATCCTAAACGAGAGTTCCTCAATGAAGATGAACCTGAAGAGAAAGGGGATAAGGTATAATGAAACTTTTTTTCTTTTCTTTACTTTCAAGTATGCATCAAGGAAGAGTCATGATGCTCCCACATGAAAACTGATAAAATGTGAATGGTTAACCAAAACTATGTTTTTCCAGGCAAGGCTGTCTCAAAACTGTTTCACAGCAAGATGGAAGATATCACATGACTTTGGGGGTGACTCAGGCCATATGACCAGCACAGTTAGTCCTGACTTGTGGGCAATGAGCTGGATGAGTTGTTCCATAGCCTGCTTTCAGCTGCCATCGTTCTGAGAGGACCTAAAGAGGCCCTGGCCTCTGCCTCCTTCTGCATTGCATGATGAAAATCCATCATGCTCACATGAAAAGAATGGTATTTCCATTGTACGACTGGCATACATCCAAGCATTTGAAGGGAGATGGTTGTCAGGGTCTGAAATGAATAGTGGTAGCCTGCTTCTGGCACTGTATCAGAACGTTTCATCCATCTGCACGTAGTTTCCTGATCATGTAGAAGGGCCTTCAGACAAAGGAGTAATAAGGAACATGAGCTGTTTGGAGGGTAGCAGTCTACTCTGAATATCCCCTTTCCCATGGCCTCTCAGATGTGGGCAAGAACCTGTCTGCATTCATAGCAAATCTTGATGTTATTTGGGACACACTCGATTTGCTCAGCTGTGCTCCATAACCACAGTGAATATCCCCTTGTGGCGTGGAGGCTGGATAGTACAGCTCTTGTGCATAAGACATCTTGTTGTTTTTGCTTAAAAGTGTACAAGGAGGCACCAATAGTAATAAATGGCAAGCAAAAGATGAAGAAGCCTTAGTTTGTAATTAGCTGAGGGCTACATGAGAGGGAAGCCTTCTGATTGTATGTATCTTCTGATTCAGATACTTTGAGCATGGCAGGAACCTAGCTGAGCTGTTTTTAAAAGCATGCCTATTTTAGTATATTTCAGGCAGTAAATTTTGTTTTCTGGACAGATATTATAGATTCTGTTGTACTAAGAACAAATAGTAATAGGACAAAATACTGAGGATAAATAGGACTTGACAATGTCAAGTGTTTTGGGTTTTTTTGTTGTTGTTGTTCAGATAGTTTTTCGAAGAGGACACAGAAAGACCTAAGCAAAGTTACAAAGAAAGTCATGATGCTGTTTTGATTGTAATTTAGATACTGGCTTTTCTCTAACTCTCACAGCTTTAAAAAACAAGAACAAACCTTATGAATTAAAATGACTCTGGCTTTTGTTAAGTTAGTGCATTTAAAAGTAAATATGTTTTTTTGCATGGGACCTTTGGGGGAAAAACAATGGAATGTTTATATTCAAAACAGCCATTGTATAAATGGTCTTTGAGATTGCTGGGGACTGTCACGTATTTATGCACACTGCAAATGAAACCTTTTTCAGACCATTTAGTTAATTTAAGTCACGCATTACTCATTGAATCTGTTCTCATAGTGCAGAATATATGAAGGCAGAGCGTGTTCTAAAATTGGACCTGTGCCATATTTCATTTCTTTATGCTGGTGTTCCAAGTGAAAGGATTTTTTTTTTAATAGTGTTACTTTCTGATTTGTTTTAAAACCATAAATATCTGTTTAGCTCTTGGAAACCTACAGGGCTTCTCTGTGCTTATTTATGTGGAACTTGCATCTTCTTTGAATAACCTTTCACATAAGCAAGCTCAGAATGTGTAATGAACAGTCAGGAGGGCTAAATGCATGCTCATAAAACAAAATGAAAAGATTCCTTTCTCATTACAATTCTGTTAAGTAAGTTCTGTTAGATTCATTTCTGCTAGATAGGACTGGAGTTTCGTTCTAGTAACTTAGGTCTCCCTGAGACATGTGGTAATATGTTGCTAGCTCTAGACCTAAAACAAGTTTATTTCATTTAGGAACCACCATGAACTAGGCTGACCAGAGCATGTTTTTGCTGGCATGAGCTCTTTTCTGCACTACGATGGTTTGCCAGAACAGCTGGGCCTCAACCAGCATCTAACGCAGAGTAGATCTCGGTCTCTACCAAGGCAGTAAGTGTAGTAGCTGCACAGAAGAGCAATCTCAGCTAGTCAGGTAAATTTTGTGTTAATACCCAGAGTTAGAAAACATAGGATCTACGACAAGCTGTTATTCATAATTATGTTAGTTCCTGCCATGTTTGTTTACATGTAATAAAATTGCTGTTTTTCAGCTCTGTTTCAGCCCTCTCTTGCATCCAAGCACCCCTGCAAAATAGAAATCTCAGAATATGAGTGCAAGTGCAGACTTAGTTACTGAAGCTTGTTTGTATAAGTGAAGTTCAAACCATTACTAAAAAAGACAAATTGCTTCTTAAAGGAAGGTGAACTTTAATTTTAAAAGTTAATAAAGCTAGCTTGTCAAAATCTTTCTGGAAATAGAATCTGACTGGGATGGAATTTGAGGACTTTAGACAGTAGGATGTAATAGTGGTTTTGCTAAACATTTCATGGAAGCCACCCCTAAGCCCCTGAAGATGCAATATTTTTCTGTGATCTTAAATGAAGTGTCATTGCAAATTTCTTCTGAATGTATCTTGGGAAATTGTTGTGACAAATGTCATCACTGCAAATTTTCATGTCATTTATCTGAGGTGACTAAAGGGCCATTGATTATTGGGGGTATCAAAAAGTTTCTCCTTGCGGCAATGGGTTGCTATGATTTCTGAGAAATTAATAATGTGAGGTTTTTATACAAGTCTGTCATACCAAAGCTTTGATAATTACATAAGCAGACATGCTAGGAAAAAAAAAAAAAAAGACTATCCAGAAATATTCCACAGCCGCATATGGTATTTTAGGGGTTCTATTAAGTGCAGGACCTTTTGACTCAAGTCATGAATGTTGTAGGGTTTTTTTTTTTTTTTCTCTTTCATGGTGAACATGTCTCACATTTGCAGTGAAACTGCTTTTCTTTGCAATTCTCTTACTTGCTTCAGTGCTCTATTGGAGGAGCCCTGCCTGAAAGCAGGAGAATGGATGGTGTTTCCTTGTCAGTGTCTCACCAAGGAGGTCGTAGTTGCACTGTGCTGGTTTTCCATCCTTCCCTACAGTCTCCTGGCCATCCTTCTCATCTGTAACCACCTAGAGCCAGAACAGTGCAGTGACTTCTGCTTTTGTGTTCCCTTTCTTAACTTTCTTTTCTCCCTTTTGTGGCACCTTTCTCTTTGTCTCTCTTGCTGCCAGGCCCCTGTTTCATCTCAGTTTTCTCATCTGTAATTAATTTTTCTTTCTGTTGCTAGATTCTTCCTTCTTTCTTTTTTCCTTCAGCTTATCCTTTCCTTACCCTATCTCTGGGTAATTTTCACTTTTCTGCTATTTCATTTGGATTTTCTGACCCCATACCTAGCATGCCACGCTCAACTGTATTCCCACTATACCTCTCTTCACAAAGCGCTGAAAGCACAAGAGAGTGAAAAAAGCTAAAGAAAGCTGTTCTGGTTCTGGCACAAAATTACCTTGTAATCTGGAAAAAGTATCCAATTTCTCTGGTCTCGCTTTGCTCGCCTTTCGGCTGTTCGTGCTTGCAGCCGCCTCCGCTTATTGCCCTTGTCACGTGTGGAAGTTTGCAAATTGGCTTTGATCCTGGGCGAAGGAGACCACGGACGTGGTCGGAGCGGCTGCTGCTGCATCGCG